GTATCCCCTCGCAATGAGACCAAACCTTGACGTGGTGCGACTGTTTGCGTACCTCGTCGACCTATTGACCTACACTGGGTGGGGCCCCCGGGCCCCTTGAGAGCTACTCCTACCAGGTTGGTCAATGGCCAGAGGTCAAACAAACTCGCTCTCCTGGTCCTTCAGGTTGGGGTTTCGAAATGGGATGGCGTCTATTTCTGTAAAACTAAATCATTGCCACTTCTCCGCTGTCTTGCGGACGGACTTTTGACTTTGGTTGAGAACCCTAATCGTCTTCCTGTCTAGGTTTGGGTGCCCTTGCGGCGTCTCAGCTCATGTAAAACCATTACTATTTCTTAAAAATTCAGCCATCTCCTGCATCGGCTGCCGCGCAGATTATCAAGAGTCGCCCTATTTGCTGCATACTGTTGGGCGGATAAGCGAAAACATGCTACTGCAGATAGCTCCTTTCTCTTCCACCTGTTTTTCTTCCATCTCAACCCCCACCATTAAGCTTCTTTCTATACTTCTTAGTTTAATTGGCAACAACTGCAATGTCACTGGAGTCACACCATTTGTAGCTATCTTACCACACCACTCACTAGACGCCTATCGGTAACAGCTCTAAAAAGGCCACGCTTTCCCGTTTGCCTGTAGGCCTTTAATGTTCGTACTCTAAAACAATCCGGTCAACAGACTGCACTCGTACGCACGTTAAACACACAGTATTGACATGTGTTGTGTGCCCCATGCTGAGGCTGATGTTGCATTCTTGATGCTTCTTCACCGCAGTTGGGCTAAACCAACTTACACTTAAACTAAGTTGGATAAATTTCATTCCACTTTCTTTGATTTGTTCTGACTTCTTGAATAATCTTCTATTAATTTGCACACATTGCTTACGCTAATTGCGCTCATCTTCGCTAACATTGTTGCGTTTGTAGCATTTTTAAGTAACTTGTGGACATTTTGTACTTATCGCGGATTCGTTGCTAACCAACTTACTTCATATGCTAATTTAGCGAAGAGCTATGTAACCTTATCTCTAAGCAATATTGGATTTATTTTATTTCAGCTTGTCGTTTCAAGTGCTTGGCTGTTGTTTTATATCCCCGGTGTCACTGCGCTTGATGTGCATGTTGACAAAGTGCCTACCTGTCTATTACCCACAACCTCATCCATACTGCTCTAGGAGACAGTTGGTCGTTGCTGGAGGGGACGGGGTGCACGGTCGTTGTGGTCGTGCTAGGCTCGAAGAGTGGTTCCATGCACTCAGTGTGGAGCGGACCATGCTTCAGCCACCGCCTTGTGTGCGATTAATTCCCAAATACAGCGTGCTTGTGTTTGCCTGTGAAGGAGTGTGGACCTGCTCCGTTGATGAAACGTGGCTCCCATCCACATGCCTCCCGGTCTTATTCCTTCGGGTTTACACTGGATGTGGGGTGTGGTTGGAGCTGTGGGTGGTGCAGTGCAAGTCACTAATTGTCCTTCGGTAGGCGCAGGCGTCCTGCGTCTGGCCACAGTGGCAGGCAAATCCGAAACCGGATGCCGCCAACCATGTGTGTCTGAATCTAGGATCAATGACTCTCAATGTGTTGTTGCATTAACTGCGCCCGGCTCGTCCTCTGTCTGTTAGTTGCACGCATCCATAGACGCTGATGCAACACTCACTGGTCAAGCTGGGGTAAGTATCATTCTTGGCTTCAAGGCTGAGTCATTTTTGGTTGATTGGATTCCGATGAATAGCCGTTTGCGTGCGGCATGTTTGACGACATTATCTAGGGTTGATTCACGAAGTATTACAAGACGTTGTTTGTTTGTGATTTCCGCTTATGCTCCCACCGACTGCAGTTCTGATGCTACTAAGAACACATTCTATCACGAACTGAACACGCTACTGCGCAATGCTACTAGTTCAGATATTATAGTACTTGCTGGGGATACGAACGCACAAGTAGGACGTCTGAGCTCCTCTGAAGCTTAGCTAGGTGGTAATTATGGGCTTGACTCCGAACGGACTGATACCAGAAAGCGTCTGTTGCAACTATGCGGAGCACCAGTTGTTTCTCAGTGACATTGTTTTAGACACATTGGGCGCCGAAGTGCCACTTGACGTCCTCCTGCAGCTGGCCAGCGATGAACCCAAATTGACCACATTGCCATAAGTTACAGGTGGCGTGGTTCCATCCTGGATTTTCACTCGTTCTGAAGTACTTGCGTCGATTCTGACCATGTCTTTTTCACAAATTTTACCGGGAGGCGCATCAGACTTTTCCATTGAGTGGTAGCTGCGAAATTGTCTCAGTTCTCTGCCAGGCAATCCTATCAAGACGCACTGCGTACGGAACATTCGCTCTTTTGTTCTAATGACACTGAATTTCTTTGGAGTAGGACCTCGCCATGCATTACGCGGGAGCCTCTGCTTGTAGCACTATAAACCGCCACCGCATCACTCACTAGATATCCGAAAGGTCGGTGAACCGGTTGGGATCCAGAAGAAACCTCTTGGCTGGCTGTGAGCACAATGTGACTAGGCGGACTACTAGGCACCAACTAAAGCGGAGGCTGCTTACTGTCAAGGAAGCTTGGTAGATCAGTCGGTCTCAAGGAATTAAGGGAGCGGGAGCAGTAGGCAGTTATCGCAAGCTCTTCCAACTGATCCGCACCACTGCTTCCAGGAAATCAGGCGTCAGTGAGACAATCAGATACAGCGCAGGTGCAGTTATAAACAATACGCAGCACCGTATGGCTCTTTGGGCGGAGCACTGTCAGGATCAATTTATTTGGCCCACTGCTTCCGGACCACTTCCCTCTCAGGTGATGCAAGACAAGCCATGGACGGTTAGTTTAGGGACTCCGTGGGAGGTTGATGTCCGAAACGTGATCGCAACCCTTAATCGTTTTCTTTTTGCTGACCCGGATACCCTCCCACCTGCACTATTTAAGGACAGAGGTGAGGTCCTCTGCAATGCTGTATCCCAGCTCTGTTATGAATCGGTTATTGTGGCAGTATAGAAGAAGGGCAGTCGCACCGGCTTTGCCAACTACTTTTTTATCAGCTTATCGCCGGTTTGCAAAATTACTGGCCTCAATTCCCGTTCGTCGCCTCACTGTGGAACGGGAATGTTGGATTAGGGTAGATCAGGGAGGTTTCCTCCGTTGATGTGGCTGTATAGACCACTCTGCAGCAAGTGCTATAGCGGTGCCGCACGTCTGCAAATCGACAATAGCTGTGTTCCTCGACTTCAAGAGTGCTTTTGATTCAGTCGATCCATACGTTCTGTTGGTGATATTTGCTCAGAGAGTGTTCCCATGAAATATGTGAGCAACTTACGTGCTCTATGCTCGAACACAACAGGCCGCGTTAGGGTCTGCGTTAACCAGTCGGATATCTTTCCTTCAGATTTGTCCGATTTCCCCTTTTTCTTTATCTATCGTCGTGGAATCCACCATACACTCTTCCCTCGAGTAGTCTCACGATACATGCATGTTGAGCTGCTGCCTGGTGAAAGGCCAGTTCATCTTGGTTATGCGGTCAATATCTTATTGCTATTTAACGTTGTGGTGGCGCAGTTATCCCTGAATAGACTCTAGAGTGGTCCCATTATTTAATATGCGCTTCGCACCTTCAAAATGCACTGTTGCTGCAGGACCAGCATTCACTTGATGATGGCGAGGAGCTCTAGTTGATCAATTCACTTACCCTTGGTAGCTGCTTGAGCGACTGACGTCAGTTCACACATTGCGAAAGCCAAAACTTCCTTCTTGAATTTGTTGCATTTGTGGCGTTAGAATGGGGTTTCGCTCCCTCTAGTAGGCCGTGTATGCAAGACCACCGTGAGTTCCATCCACTGTATGGGAATGAAACTGGCTATTCTGTCTGAGGGCTAGCGGCGGCTCCAAGTCTTTGATTATCCTTGTCTGCGTTGCTTGTCCACAACGATGATGTGCGTGAGTGCTAGGCAGTGATAGTCATGCTAGTTCCTTGGAACAACAGATATCACTAAATTAGTTGTGTTGTCTCGGGAACGTATGCCCGGTCACCGTGGAGGGCCTTATTTTGTTTGCTAGGTGTTGGGTGACGCAAGGCTCAAGGTGGACAAAAGTTGACTGACGACCAAAGTCGCTACCATCCGCCTGTCTCGCGTTCCAGGCTTGAGTCCACGTTACCCGTCTTGTGCTTGGCTTACGACTTCACAGCGTATGGCTCACAGTCGACAGCAGTGGCGTGTCTTTTGTCGTCTCGTAGTCGGACTGCCTGTTTGGAGTATACCTGGCGCTGAGTTATCTGCGGGGTGATGCTTTAGTATGACGCGGGGCAGTGAAAGCCGCAAGGAAGCTGTCTCTCTTATGCCGCGTTATCTGTGCATGATATCCTGCTGTTTGTGACGCTATGTTCTTGATAAGGTGTAGGCACCTTGACCCTGAATATTTGCTTAGGGCATTAAGGTTTTCCGGTAGTCCCTCTTTTCTATTTTCGTTCTGTACGTTGTGGTTATATGGCAACGAAGCGTCAGTTCAAATGGCTCATGTACTGTTGTTGATGATTATAAGGATGACTGACTTATCGCACACCATGAACCGATATTTCTGGTGCACAAAATCTGTGAAAACTTTGATTGACGGTTTATCTTAGAGTCTGTAGTGACACTGTATTTGTGTCTTAAATGCCACTCGAAATTGTTAAACATAAAGGGACCATATGCGTTAAACATGGCGAGTGTAAATGGTTAAATGGCCGCTTTTCATTTGAAACGTTATCAAACTTTTCTGTAAGATTTTGTCACTACAATTCGGCTGGTGACTTACGGAATTTAAATGTATAAATACGGATGAAGTTGAGTTTATAACGGACTCGCGCAATAGTTGAAGAGGTACCCTTAATGCGGGTCGCTATGGTTGCTAACGTTCCTGTAGCTGAAGGCTGACTCACGTGTCTTCGTTACAAACCCTTTAATTGCGATGTCATAACACGCTGTTTTGTGTCCTATAGTGTAATCGTACTCTCCTATCTGAACTAGGCACAGCAGCATTAGGAAGGATAAGGGATTACGAAGTGACTTTTTCAAACGTAAAGCGGATCAGGAGCACGAGAAACGCGTGCGGGAAATCGGACGGAAGTTGCAAGAAGCCAGGGCAGCGCGCAAACGAGCAAAACGCCTTCGTGAAGAGGAAAATCGGAAACGGAGGCTAGAGAATGAGAAACGAGCAGAGGTGGTTGTTCCAGTGAGTGAATTCATCTCACCATCATTCCTTTACAGATAACAAACATATCAAAGGTAAAACGAATGAAGAAGTCTCAATTGAAAACAATTGCCAAACGGTAGTGATCTGTTTTGCTCCAATACATCCTGTAATCATAAAGTTTTTCGTTCTCACTCCAAGTAAGGCAGATTCGCACTTCCATACTAGATCATCAGCACTCTGATTATCGCTACTCCTTGGTCGTCATTGCCAGGACTGCGAAGACCCAATTAGCTGCCGCCTCGGCCCGCGATTTATTAATCATATGGCCACGTATTGATGTAATTAGGTGCATCGCTTATATATGTAGACGGTGCCACATGGTCTCTGTAGTTTTGAGGTTCCTTCCGATACGTTTTAGATCCATTCGTAACCTTATCCGCCTGCGAAGGACGCGCCGGGCTTATTCCCTTGCTTTTTAAATTCTCCATGATATATATATATATATATATATATATATATATATATATATATATATATATATATATATGACGGGAGAGCCCATAATGCGCTGAAGCTTGTGGTGGTGAAATTATGACTGATCGTCGACCCGCTGCTGTTAATGCCGTGCTGTGGGCTCATGTCCTAGGCGCCTCTTCATGACGACCGCTGGGTAGTAGTTAAGTTGCACTCTACTTCTGGCTAAGATCTAGGATACAATTCTGTGTGAGTCGGTTCACTAACTCATGGTGCTCGGCCCGCTGTCTTTTGGGTGTATACTTTATCGAAGATTTTACCTGAAGACCCGAGTCGTTCTGCTGTCAGTTGTGGGTGCCCTGGCAGTATCCTAGTTCAAACTCCTAACCATGAATTACGTCAATAATAATAAATCCATGCTTAATCGGCTTTCGTGCAGTGGCTTTAGGAAAAGCTTGCCCTTTTCTGCTGCATACTGCGGAGTGGATAACCGTAAATATGCTACTGTTGATGCCTTCCTCCTTTATTCTTCTTCTGTGCATACTCTCCCCATCCCCGTTTCACCTAACCCACTACTTCATCCGATCCAGGTCGTCACCATCCATACGGTTGCCGGCTAAGCTAATCGTATGCCTCCGCGCAGAGCGCTCAACATTTGGTGCTGGAACGTGCGCACTTTGCTTGACCGGAATACGTGTGAGCGTCCCGAGCGACGCACTGCACTGGTGGCGATGGGACTGGCGCGCTACGACATCGCTATTGCGGCGCTCAGCGAGACCCGGTTGGCATAGCAAGGTAAATTGCATGAAGCTGGTGCTGGCTATACATTCTGCTGGGTGGGAAACGCCACCTCAGCACCACGTGAACATGGGTCGGCTTTGCACTATCCGATCGCGTTAATTGTCAGCTGGTACATGAACCCAATGGCAACAGCGCGCGACTGATGTCTGTTCGGCTACGACTCGGAAGAGTTACGTTTACCATGAGTTATCCGGCCGACACACGTGCTAAGTCCTACACGCAGTTATCCTCCGTGATACGGTCTGCGCTGATGAGCAACCGACTATTTCTGCTGGGTGATTTCAACGTGCGCGTTAGGTGTGATGCATCAGTGTGGACAGATGTTACCGGTCCGCATGGCATTGGTTCAGCCTATCCGAACGGTGACAGGCTGCTCTCACTGTGTGTCACTCACCTCTTGACGAGCACGAACACTCGGTTTGCACGGAGTGCGAGTGATACAGCAACTTGGACGCACCCACGGAGTGGTCACGCTCACCTGCTCGACTATGTCACCGTGATGTGCGTGAAGTGCGCATGGCACGTGTACTGCGTGGAGCTGAGTGTGGCACTGATAACAAATTGGTGCGGACCAAACTGCACATATATTTTCGTAAATCTGTGTATTACACTCCCGGCGTAAATGTAACCTCTTCCTTGGCACTGTGGTTAGGCGTATTGAGCTGGAGAAGGCGCTGGCTGGCCACAGTGGGCGACCTGTGGCACTACATTCCCCGTTAGGTGATGGCTGTTGCCGAGGAGACCATCGGGCGCGCAAATTTTATGCGACCAGATTGGTTTGATGAGAACAGTGCGACAATTGGCGCATTGGTGTGTGAGAAGAATGCAGCATTTGCTGCGCATGTGGCAGAGCCCAGTGACTTGGGGAAGAAGGGTCAGTTTCGCAAACTTCCACGGCGACTGACCCGAGAGCTCCGTCGCGTTAAAAATGCCTGGTGGACGGAGAAAACGAAGCAGATGGAATGCTACGCGAACGCCGCCAACACAAGGAATTCTTTGATTCCTTGAAGGCGGTGGATGGATCGAGGTTGGAGCCGCTCAGCACGCTGCACGATGCTACTTCAGGCACTGCCTGCACACAGGCTGCAGACATAATGCAGATCTAGCGAAAACAGTTTGATTCTCGCTTGAACAACCGTTCAGAGGTTGACTGGACTGTGTTGCACGGGCTGCAAAAACAACAGATGAAGACGTGTCTAGCCGACACACAGACAATGGATGAGACATAGGGAGCACTTGTTCTACTGCGAAACGGCATGTGTGCCAGTGCCAGCGCCATTCCGCCTGAAGTATAGCCAGACGGCGCAACCGCATTGGTGAATGCGCTGCACTAATTGGTGCAACGCGTATAGATTGAGGAGGAGATGTCTCTTGAGCTAAAAGATGACCTTGTGTTAACAACGGGCAGAATGGGCTACCCATGGCCACACCGTCTATCTGCCGATCTGCTTTCTCTTGAAAGTAAAACTTGATGTTTTGCGTGCGTAAAAGAAGCGTGTTCTTCAACAATTCTATAAAGAGATGAACTCGCATCGATAGTCAACAGTCTCGTTCACAGGGATGTTAGTGAAGAGGAAGTGGACATCAAGTGAGCACATTCGCTTTCCAGCCAAAATTAACATGCTCAAAGTAAGGAAGTATTTCGAAGGTGTTTGATAAGGCATGGATTTTCTGCCAGGCTCAAGCATGCTGTTCAGCCATTTGGCAAAGGCATGATACGGTGAATTCACCATGGAGAAAATTGGTCGCACAGGCATTGCTGCTGTATATACCTTAAGCAAAGCGTACATTTGTGGGGTATGGGTACCCACCAGTTTGAGCACTCTGTATTCATGGTCGGCGGTGAATCCATGGAGCCTTAGGATTTGCAATTCACGACACAACTGCTTTTCGACTAAACGGACAGTGTCAAATGCAGTATCCGGCTTGAACTTTGTGCTGTCAGACAAGATTGTCTTTATCTTACGTAAACGACCTGACTTGTCTAGGATAACCACTCCGAAGCCCCTATCAGGCTTCAATATAGTAATATCCTTGTTGTTTTCCAGTGCGCGTAATGCAATGACACAGTCCGCCGTTGTATTCGTGCGTTGAAGAAACAATGCGAAATATCTACTAATTTGTGCTCTAATCAAGTGTCATTGGCAAGGGAAGTTGGATTCAATGGTGCCGGTTGGTTGTAAAAATTTTCAAAGCTGGCGTCAACGGATGCCTTGTGAATAAGGTTGTTTGTGTCTTGTACCCCAATGCAAGTGACATGGCGTCGGTCTGCAGTCGGTTCACGGACAACGATGACATGTTATGAACAAATTTGGAACAACTAACAGGGAACTCGCTCTTCTTTTGTTCAGCCGAAATGGTATGTTGGAACTTGAGTGTTGCAGACTGTGTAGTATTTCTGGTTACGTCTTGGCAAAAGTTCACTATTTCGATTCGACACACAGTTGGTGCAGAATCACACAATGCTAGGTAACGCTAGGCCGTTTCCCTAAGCTGCTTAATCCTATGCAAGCAGTTTTCCTTACCGACTGCATGTGTTTCACACCGCGTAGTCGCGCTGAATTGACGCTCATCTGTTTTTGGATCTACCATTCGCAGTTCTCGTTTCAACCTACTATGCTTACATTTGCCCAACTCGGATGTACCAGCGCTATCCGCAGCAAGCTTGTCTAACACACCATCATTGCATCCCTTATTGCAATTTTAACGGGATTTTCACAGCTGTCCAGTCGTGCATCAACCCTTATTTTCTAGTTTATACCATCATTTGTAACCTCATTCGATAGAGTACTCTTAGAGCTATCTATCGTTTCTTTTGTGACAAGAATCGAAAACTCCGTTTGATGGCTGCAACACTTAGCTCCTACCGTCCCATGACTCGTCAAACTAAAATGAATCCTATCACGCACATCAAAACTGTCCAACAGGTTTTATTCCGACTTGATCGATATCTAGTCGGACACATCCCACGCCATATCGTTCTCGTACCGACCTCAGCTGGAAATGGAAAGCAATACGTTGCGCACCAGACTCCATTTGATTCTTTGCAGACTGTATGATTGACATACTCGTAAGGTGCATCGCCTTGCTGGCTCAGAAATGTGACAAACTCAGCTATTGTGCAGCGTGCGACGGCTAGTGTCGCGGTCACATCGGAACCAGCTGCATCGCAACTAGATTTTTGTTGCCAAAATATATGTTCAAACGTGGAACAGAATATCCAAAACCAGTGTATAGTTAACAATGTAGAGCCAGTAACCCCAACCACGAGAACTAGCAGCCAGGGTCTGTCAATCCCGGCAACCCCAATTTTGTAGAGAATGGTTCCTCGCGGGGATGTGTCTGTCGCACATAACACTGTTGCATTCGGGTCTACCTAACACTACTGAAAGTCTGACAACCTACCCATCCGTCGTCGTTGTATGCAAACCTAGGGCAAGGTTAGCGGTATACCTGCAACTACGGGCTGGCTGGCCGAACAACCTCGACGTGGTGCCAGCCTGATGGTTCGACTTATTTCCGGTCTAGCTAATAGTTCGGCTGCAGTGTTCCAGGACGTGGTGGGTTTTCGCCTGGCAAGCGTTCTCCTATAAAAAGCCACAAATCTCTGCTTAACAACACTGTGACGTGGCGGATATGACTGACCACTAAATAAACTCATTGTCTTGCCATACTGGAAGATGTTACACATTTCGCGAACGTCAACCACTTAAAAGATTTAATGTGATCCTATCCTATATTAGCGCATTCACCGAACATACTCACAAATTCACAAAACGCGATGACTTTCACATGCACCCACATAGTTGGAGGCATCCGGTTTCGGATTTGCCTGTCACTGTGGCCAGGCACAGGACGCCCGCGCCCACAGAGGAACCATGGATGGCTTGCGCTGCACCACC